GGTGGGGGAGGGAGGGAGGGAGGAAGGAAGGAAGGAAGGAAGGAAGGAAGGAAGGAAGGAAGGAAGGAAAAAGAAGGAAACTTGGTTTTATAAAATGACCTAAATCATAAGATTCATGATGTCTTGTTCAACATACAACCAAGATATACGAAGAGTACCTGGCACATATGTGTAAGTGTCAATAAACACTGGTTGCATAGATAAGTGAATGAATGAATGATGGAATACACCACTTTCTACTTTTATTTATAGCTGTGTCTATGTGTCATCCACCTTTCAAGTAAAGCTGGGTTCCTTGAGGGTCGGATTCATCTTTGCATTTCCTGTAATTAGGACAATTTCTGCCACAGAGTGGACACTCAAAGATATGTTTAATAAATCAGTAAAAGAATAGATGATTAAATAAATGTCACTTTTCTACCACTTCAGATACAACATTCTCTTGCTAAGAATCATTCAATGCCTCCCTATTACTCTTAAGCTAAAGTCCAGACTATTCTCCACGACCTACAAAGATTTAGCACTCACACCACATCTTTTTTACTTGGAATTCCAGCTACGCTAAACTTCTTGGAGCTCCTCAAATTCATTGTTAGGATAAAGATCAGAGTCCCTAATTCCCCACTCAGGGCCCTTCACCTGGCCCATCATCACCTGCTCTCAATCCCACTGCTATTCCTTCATCTGGCTAAGTCCTTCTTGTCTCCCGGTGAAGCCTTTCCTGACCCATCTGTAGCTTAATACCCTTCATATAGCTCTCACTGTATGTACCCTGTACCACTGCTTTGCAGTGTTTGTCACAAGAATAAATTATTATTTTTGTGTTTGTTTTTTTTTTTTTTTTCTTTGAGACAGAGTCTCACTGTGTTGCCCAGGCTGGAGTGCAGTGGCACCATCTCAGCTCACTGCAACCTCCACCTCTCAGGTTCAAGAGATTCTCCTGCCTCAGTCTCCCGAGTAGCTGGGATTACAGGCACATGCCACCGCACCTGGCTAATTTTTCTAGTTTTAGTAAAGACGGGGTTTCACCATGTTGGCCAGACTGGTGTCAAACTCCTGACCTCAGGTGATCCACCTGCCTCAGCCTCACAAAGTGCTGGGATTACAGGCGTGAGCCACCCACCCGGCCAATTTTTGTGTTTCTTTTATCTAGTATTTATTTCCTCCATTCAGCTGTAAGTTCCATGAGATAAGGAGTGTGTCTGTTATGGTTTTTCACAGTGTTATCTAGTACCTAGGACACAGGTAGGAAACCAATGGCCCATTTTTTTTTACCTGTCTGCCAGATGTTTTTTTCCTACAATTTGAATTCACTTCATATATATATATATATATATATATATTTTTTTTTTTTTAACAAAAAATCTGGATTTCTGGCTTCTCTTGAAAAAAAAGAATCCAAAGATCTGAAATGACTGCACAACTGTCAGGATAGGTGAGCAATGCTGCAGTAACAATCTCAAAAACTCAGATGGATTTCTCACTCACACTGCATGTCCCCTGCAGGAGGCTGGGGCTCTGCTTCCACTGCCTGAGTTCTAACTGGAACATCAACTGTCACTGTGACCAAAGGGAAGTGAGACCCAAGCAAACCCTGTCTCGCCTTTTTTTTTTTTTTAGATGGAGTCTCACTCTGTCACCCAGGCTGGAGTGCAGTGGCACCATCTCCGCTCACTGCAAGCTCCGCCTCCCGGGTTCACACCATTCTCCCACCTCAGCCTCCCAAGTAGCTGGGACTACAGGCACCCGCCACCATGCCTGGCTAATTTTTTGTATTTTTAGTAGAGATGGGGTTTCACCATGTTAGCCAGAATGGTCTCGATCTCCTGACCTCGTGCTGACCTCGTGATCTGCCTGCCTCGGCCTCCCAAAGTGCTGGAATTATAGGCGTGAGCCATCGCGCCCGGCCAATGTCCCACAATTTAATGAACACTTGTGCTGCATCAAGAACTGTGCATTTTCTCATTTAACTTCATGATTCTTAGTTGAGGAATTTGAGACCTGCTGGAGAAAGTCATCCTCCAGTATCAACCCACTTGACAGACGCAGGATTTGAACTGAGTCATTCTGTCTCCGGTACCCTCTTGTCCGCCATGCACTGTGTCTCCTGACTCAGCAGAAACTTGTCAGATCTTATCATTGCTAGGCCTTTTGTACCATTTGTTCCTGTGTGTCCTTCTATCCCTTTTGTGCTGGATCTTCATTCTCTTCCTCCAACTCTAATCACCCTTTTATATTGGTTTCACCAGGCATCTGGTGCCCAAAGGGTGAATCAACCCATTTTTACTTCCTCATCTTCAACCCATTTCCCACTTCCTCTCTCTCGCAATGATTCTGGCTTCTCTTGTAGGACTCAGCTTATGGGACACCTCCTCTAGAAAGCCTTCCATGATCTCTTTTTCTTTCCAATCTTGTTAAGTGCCACTTCCTTAAACTTTCATAGCACCAAAAGGCTTCAGTTCTTTTTCTTTTTCGAGACAGAGTTTCACTCTTGTTGCCCAGGCTGGAGTGCAGTGGCGCAATCTCAGCTCACTGCAACCTCCGCCTCCTGGGTTCAAGCGGTTCTCCTGTCTCAGCCTCACGAGTAGCTGGGATTACAGTCATGCACCACCATGCCCAGCTAATTTTTAATTTATGTGGGTACATAGGTGTACACATATTTGGGGCACATATTTTTATTTAGGCATACAATGCATAATAATCACATCAAGGTAAAGGAAGTATCTGTCACCTCAAGCATTTATCCTTTCTCTGTGTTACAAACAATCCAGTTATACCCTTAGTTATTTTAAAGTATGCAATAAATTATTGTTGACTATAGCCACCCTGTTGTGCTATCAAATACCAGGTCTTACTCATTCTTTCCTAACTTTATTTTGGTACCCATTAACCATCCTCACTTCCTCCCTACTCCACCCTACTGCCCTTCCCAGTTTCTGGTAACCATCTTTCTACCCTCTCTCTCCATGATTTCAATTGTTTTGATTTTTAGTTCCGTCCATGTTGTTGCAAATGATAGGATCTCCTTTTTTTAATGGCCAAATAGTACCCCATTGTGTATACACACCACATTTTCTTTGTCCATTCATTGTTGATGGACCCTTAAATTGTTTCCAAATCTTGGCTATTGTGCATAGTACTGTAGTAAAACATGGGAGTGCAGATATCTTTGATGGACTGATTTTTTTTTTTTTTTCCTTTTGGATATATACCTCCACTGGGATTGCTGGATCATATGGTGGCTCTATTTTTAGTTTTTTGAGGAATCTCCAAACTGTTCTCCATGGTAGTTGTAGTAATTTAAAATCCCACCAACAGTGTATGAGGGTTCCTTTTTTCCGCATCCTTGCCACCATTTGTCATTGCCTGTCTTTTGGATAAAAGCCATTTTAACTGGGATGAGATGATATCTCATTGTAGTTTTGATTTGCATTTCGTTGATGGTCAGTTATGTTGAGCAGTTTTTCATATACCTGTTTGCCATTTGTATGTATTCTTTTGAGAAATGTGTATTCAGATCTTTTGCCCATTTTTAAATCGGATTCTTAGATTTTTTCCTATAGAGTTGTTTAAGCTCCTTATATATTCTGGTTATTGATCCCTTGTCAGATGGATGTAAGGGTTCAATTCTGGAAGCAAATGCCCCTCAGACAATGTCATCAAAACTCTATTATCTCTTCCTTACTCTGAACTGTAAAGAGGAATGTCTTTACTCCAGATCCTCTGTCCCCTGGTCCAGCCTGATCTCCAGATTTTCCCTTTAATGGTGTCAAGGATACAAGTACCATAAGAAGTATTTGGTAGCCTGGGTTAGAGATGTAAAAATGCAGCAGTTATCATAGGCACTGTTTTCATCTTCATTTTCCTACTGAAGTGGTTATTTTGTGTTTTTCTATATGTAATCACTAAAAGACTCCTCCTTTGTTTGTTGATGCCCTTCAGGTGACAGAACACAAGTTCACACCAGAGAGCCAACCACTTACCCGCCAGTCTTATCTGAGCGGGCCTTTGTCCGGGGAAGCCTGACTGTGGAATCTTCAACCTCAAGTGACTCGAGGTTGGGGAGATCTAGGGATAAGGAAGGGCTTTTGGAAATGACACCAGAGACAGACCTCCACAAGGAGACCCATCCTGGGAAAGCGAGCATTGAAGGTGAAGGTTTGGGGACAGATGATGGTCTGCACTCCAGGGCATTACAAGAGTGGTTATCAGCAGATGTTCTCCATGAATGTGACTCACAGCAACCAGGGAAAGACGCCTTGATTCATGCAGGGACAAATGCCTACAAATGCAAGCAGTGTGGGAAAGGTTTTAACAGGAAGTGGTATCTTGTTCGACATCAGAGGGTTCACACTGGAATGAAACCCTATGAATGCAACGCGTGTGGGAAAGCCTTTAGCCAGAGCTCAACTCTCATTCGGCACTACCTCATCCACACTGGGGAGAAACCATACAAGTGCCTTGAGTGTGGAAAGGCCTTCAAACGCAGGTCATACCTCATGCAGCACCATCCAATCCACACTGGAGAGAAACCCTATGAGTGCAGTCAATGTCGAAAGGCCTTCACCCATCGGTCTACTTTCATTCGCCATAACAGGACCCACACTGGAGAAAAACCCTTTGAGTGCAAAGAATGTAAGAAAGCCTTTAGCAATAGGGCCCACCTAATTCAACACTACATCATCCACACTGGAGAGAAACCCTATGATTGCATGGCATGCGGAAAGGCCTTCAGATGCAGCTCAGAACTCATACAGCACCAGCGGATTCACACTGGGGAGAAGCCCTATGAATGCACCCAGTGTGGGAAGGCCTTTCACCGGAGCACATACCTCATTCAGCACTCTGTCATCCACACTGGGGAGATGCCCTACAAGTGTATCGAGTGTGGGAAGGCCTTCAAACGCAGGTCACACCTTCTGCAGCACCAAAGAGTCCATACATGAGAGAACCCTATTGTTGCAATGAATATAGCAAAGCCTTCACCCACTGTTCTTATTTTATCATTCATAATGGGACCCACACTGGAGGAAGAAGCCCTTCGAGTGCAAAGAATGTCAGGAAACTTCATTTTTTTCCTCAGCTCTTTCTTAACTAACACATGAGCAGTCACTTTGGAGAGAAACCCTGTGAATACAGTGAATGTAAGGATCCCTTCAGTCACCACTCAGTTCTCACTGCAGAAGGATTCATGCCAGAGGGAAATGTGGAAGGCACTCCATCAACATCAGAGGACTCAGGCTGGAGAAACATTCCAAATATAACTCTTAAGGACAGTCTTTGGCCAGAGGAAAAATCTTAGTATCCGAGCATCATAATGAAAAGTTACTACATAATTGTCATTGATGTGAGAAAACTTTCTGTGACCAGTTTCTCACTTACTTGTCCTATAAAGAGCCATGCTGGAATTTGACCCACCTCAGGATTTTCTCTATGAACTTATGAAAACCTTCAGTCACAGGTATCTTCTTGCTTTATGTCCTTACAGACTTCCCTGTAAGATCAGTTTTATTTTTTGGTAGGGGAATGTTTGAGAGGTAAAGGGGTTTTATTTCCCCCCCCCCTTTTTTTTTTTTTTTAACATACATTCACTGCCATCCTTTGTCAGAGCTGGACAGTGAGGGCAGCTCTTCAAACATTTCTTGGAAGCTGCCTTTGATCCAGACCTCTCTGGGAGGATATCCATAGGAGAGTAATTCTTTGTGAGAAATATGAAGGCTTGTGTCATGAGATTCTTGAATTTACAAGAAATTAGAATACTGAGAATGTCTTCATGTGACACTTCTATTTTATATCTAGGGTGAGAAGAACCCATGTACAGACGGCCACATTAAAATGTACACCACTTAAGACTGTTTAAGGCTTTGATTTTTTAAAATAAACATTATTTTTTAAGAGATAGGGACTTGCTCTGTCACCCAGGCTAGAGTGCAGTGGCATGATCATAGCTCCCTGTAACCTCGAACTCCTGGGCTCAAATGGTCCTCTTGCCTCAAGTTTCTGAGTAGCTTGGGATACAGGCATGCACCACTATGCCTGGCTAATTTTTGTAATTTTAGTAGAGACAGGGTTTTACCATGTTGGCTGGGCTGGTCTGGAACTCCTGGCCTCAAGTGATCCACCTGCCTTCGCCTCCCAAAGTGCTGGGATTACAAGTGTGAGTCACTGTAACCGGCCTTAAATTATCTTGCTGTGTTCCCCAGATTTGTCTCAAACTGCTAGACTCAAGTGATCATCCTGCCTCAGCCTCCTAAAGTGTTGGGATTATAGGTGTGAGCCACCACACCTAGCCTAATATGGTTTCAGATGCTCAGCACTCTCACATTTTCCTGATTCCATTCTATTTGTTGTCTTTATTTTCTCTGGCAACATAGTGATCACTTTGTACTTGCTTGGCCCTCTCAGGTGAGTCCTAATTCTTTCTGGTATTTCTCAGGTTCTTTAATCCTGTGTAGAGAGGTATTTTCAGGTCTCCCTTAGCATATTTCTAGGAATTGAATTACAGCTAAAACAGGCAAAATAAAACACACAACTAAGATGAATCCATGGTAAACCCAGTAAACCCAACAAAACAACATGGAATCTCATTGTCTGATCTTGTAAACATTTGTGTGAAGTTTTACTACAATATAAAGTGCCTAGCATTTTAACAGGTGAATCAGGATATATGTGTGCAGGTTTACGTGAGTTTCATAGTTAACCACCAGGACCTTATTCCCTTGGTGCTAGCATTGAATATGGTAATTAGTTTTGTTTTGAGATGGAGTCTCACTCTGTTGCCTAGGCTGGAGTGCAGTGGTGCGATCTTGGCTGATTGCAACCTCTGCCTCCCGGGTTCAAGCAATTCTCCTGCCTCAGCCTCCCGAGAAGCTGGGATTACAGGCATGTACCACCGTGCCCCAGCTAAGTTTTGTATTTTTAGTAGAGACAGGGTTTTGCCATGTTGCCCAGGCTGGTCTCAAACTCCTGACCTCAGGTGATCCACCCACCTCAGCCTTCCAGAATCCTGGGATTACAGGTGTGAGCCACTGCACTTAGCCTGAATATGGTAATTTGAAATTCCTTTTGTGAGATTTTCTTTTAGTTTTCAAGCTACATGAGACAATGTTAGGTTAAAACATGTATTGTGTGAAAAACAGAAAATTATTTTCTCACTTTGAGCTTTCCTCACAAACTTTTAAAGCACTGCATATGTATTTCATGTTTTCATAGTGGGCATGTGCCTTTTACTGTGGTCCTTTTGCACATACTATAAATACAATTCTTGGTGAGTTAAGAGTTCTCTGTTTTTGTTTTTTCAGGACAGAGTGCACAGTTTCCTTTCCTCTGGGAAGGAGAGTTGACTCTTGAGGACCACCACCCTCCTGCATCCTCTCTCTGGAAGGCTGCATGTATTGTAGCTGTGGCTGTACTTGTACCTAAGGCCCTGGGTTCAAGAGAGTTGGAGAAATCCCTCTAGAAACATATTGGCTGTCATCAAAGGGTTCTTTCCAGGCCTGAGGACCTAGGCCCCAGTTTGTCCCAAAGCAGGAGTGATGTTTTCCATGGGATAAAGGACAGCCTGGGGTTTTTCTTAGCTTTCAACTCTTTCTGTACAGTCTTAAAGTGTTTGGTAAAAGGATCTACTATGAACTTGCTGCTGTGATAGGCAAGAATCTCATGAGACACCTGTCATTTAGCTCCATGGCCACTCACTGTTGTGTTCATATTTGGAAGAGTAGGATGCAGTGGATGGCTGGGCTATGGGTCCTACCCTTGAGCAGGGAAGGAACTTACTGTCTAGTATAGGAAAAACACGTGAGAACAGGTGCAATATATTGACCTAAACTTGTTTAGCACCCATTTTTAAGTCAGTAAAAGTTATGAACTTCTGTATGTTTTCCACAAATACTCAGTTTATGATTGAGGTAAAAAAAAATTTTTTTTTTTTTTTGAGATGGAGTTTCACTCTTGTTGCCCAGGCTGGAGTGCAGTGGTGCCATCTCAGCTCATGGCAACTTCTGCCTCCCGAGTTCAAGGGATTCTCCTGCCTCAGCCTCCTGAGTAGCTGTGATTATAGGCGCCCACCACCACGCCCGGCTAAGTTTTTTGTATTTTTAGTAGAGACGGGGTTTCACCATGTTGGCCAGACTGGTCTTGAATTCCTGACCTCAGGTAGTCCACCCGCCTCAGTCTCCCAAAGTGCTGGGATTACAGGCGTGAGCCACTGTGCCCGGCGGAGGTAAAGGTAAAACATGTTTTCTTGTTCATGTTTGTTATTGTAACTTTGTTACATTTAATGAACAAATTAGATAAAAAGCACTATGCTCTTATGGTGCTTAATCTGTGAGAAAAGATTGTGGGGGTGGGACTAGTTATGACCATTCACAGTTGGTGCACTTCAATTAGTCTCACAGAGGAAATGTGGACGGTGAATTCACTTGGCAAGTCAGTCATGCAAAGACGAATTAGAAATCTTAACGTTTGTAAGCAGACAAAAAATGTGTCTGGAAGGATTCTCACCCAGTTAAATGGTATTTGCTCCTTGGGTGTAGAGGGAGGGAAGGGATGGGGCAGAGGGGAGTGTCAGAGTGAACATTCACTTTAACTTCATGCACACGTGGAAATGTTTGAAATGTTCACAGTAAATTTTATAATTTCAGAAAAACCACTTAAGGTTGAAAAGAGAAATTTAAGAAATCGCTGATGGAATAAAAACATAACAGAACTAGAACATTGAAGGAAATGAAAGCAGGAAGGAAAGCACCAGAAGTGATTTGGAAGAGAAAGTCTAAAATGAATGTGAACAACAGAGTGATCAGAAGAGTATAGAGAATTAATAGTTTCTTTAAACAAGCCATCTCACAATGGAAGCCTGTTTATCTTGAAATTGCTGTGATTACTATTCACTCTGCCTTTGAAAGAACTGCAGAAATTCATAGGGCAATGTTAAGTGTTTGTGTCTCCAAAAAAGATGTTGGAGTCATTACCCTCAGAACCTCAGGTAATCATGTTAATTAATCCATTAGGTTAGTTCCTAATTGAATATAACTGTGTCCTTACAAAAATGGGAAATTTGGGCCTGTTGGGGTGGCTCACGCCTGTAATCCCAGCACTTTGGGAGGCCGAGGCGGGTGGATCACGAGATCAGGGGATCGAGACCATCCTGGCTAACAGGGTGAAACCCCATCTCTACTAAAAATACAAAAAATTAGCCGGACATGGTGGCAGGCGCTTGTAGTCCCAGCTACACAGGAGGCTGAGGCATGAGAATCACTTGAACCCGGGAGGCGAAGGTTGCAGTGAGCCGAGATCGTGCCACTGCACTCCATCCAGCCTGGGCGACAGACTCCATCTCAAAAAAAAAAAAAAAAGGGAACTTTGGTCACAGAGGCAGATGTACAGAGGGAAGACAATCTGAAGACAGAGGAAGAACATCGTCAAGTCAAGGAACACATGGGGCTACCAGAAACCGAGAGAAAAGCATGGAACGTGTTCTAGTAAGAAGTGTCTGGGTTGTTTGGGGTTTTTTTCTTTGGTTTGGAGTTTTGTGGTGTTAAATTACTATTTTTTTGAGACGGCGTCTTGCTCTGTTGCCCAGGCTGGAGTGCAGTGGCACGATCTTGGCTCACTGCAAGCTCCGCCTCCCAGGTTCACGCCATTCTCCTGCCTCAGCCTCCCGAGTAGCTAGGACTACAGGCGCCCACCACCACGCCCAGCTAATTTTTTGTATTTTTAGTACAGACGGGGTTTTATCGTGTTAGCCAGGATGATCTCGATCTCCTGACCTCGTGATCTGCCCGCCTCAGCCTCCCAAAGTGCTGGGATTACAGGCGTGAGCCACCGTGCCCGGCTGGTATTATTTTTAAATTATCATGTTTTATTGTAGATCTCACAATTCTTTTTGTCTATCTTTTTCACTCAAAATACAACAAAATATAGTCTATCCTGTATTTCATGGGCTTACCTCTAGCCAATGGTTTTTAACTGCCATGTAATGTTTTACATCATGAAGCTTTCATCCTTTATTCAAATCTTGTGATTATGGACATGTACTTCCTCCATTCTCCTGCTATGGAATATATTACCACTAGCTTAATTCAACCTTAAAAATAAGGTCATCAGGGTTATGTTCTAAATAAACTTATGGACATACATGAAAAATGTACCTTGGAGCTGAATAGCTAGGTCATATGGTGATCCAGTATGTAACTGGAATTACGTTATAGGTTGCCCTTTCCTCTCCCATAAGATGGACAGAAGTGTTTCTGTATCACTGTGTCCCAGACAATATTTAGAATTACCCAGCTTTCCAGTTTTTCTTACTTTAGAAGTTTAAAGTAATATACAGTATTATCTGCTGTTTCTCAGATTGAAATACGTTTGAGCATTAATTCATATCCTTTTATTCCCTTTTGTTTTTCTTCTGTCAATGGTCTACTCATATATTGGCCTGTCTTTATTTGTATCTTAACT